TTGGTAGGTAAAGTTTTAGCTCTCAGTTATTTCAAACGTTTAATTAACCCCACAGAACACACTGAGAACAACAACGTGGCAAATAAGCTAGTTTTTCACCTACTCGTAATTATGCCATTGCATAACGTTAAATATGACTAACAATAAGAATAAATAAGGTATAAGAGATTCGAGTCCTAATGGTTTATCTTTGGCTGCAATCATGCGTGCGTGTGTGAAATAGATCAGTGTCAAGAGCTCACTTAATTGCACACGTGTTGGAGTGGTTGAAGTGAGCCAGGGGAGATTAATTGCTTGCAAAAGTTTCTTCTGAGCGCACGAGGGGGATTGTGAATACGAATACTTACAGCTTCGGCAGTGGCTAAGATTCGATGCTTCACTGCTCTTGGTTGCCTACACAGAACCTTGTAAATCGGTCGACACATGCTTGCCACATCCACCGAGTGATTTGACTCAACGAGGTGCGAACACACCGCGCTTGTAATTGTCTTAATTGTTCCAGTCTTCAGCCAAGCCAGGTGGTGTTTGCGAACGCGATCGGATAAGCGCCTGGTCGTGCGGCCAATATACCCAGTTCCACACGAACAGGTGAATGAGTATACAAAGAATGAGGCTGCAGAATTTGGCGCTCTGTCCTTCAGTCGGAAACACATAATCGGTTTAGACGTGAACACGAGTTTAAATTTTGCGGCGTAAAATGTTCTGCTTACTGCACTTGTGAGCTTTCTTTGAACGATTCCCGCCTCCGTATCTCCCTTAAACGGCAGATGTACATAGACAGATTTCTTTTCTGCTCCTATTTCCTTTGGTTGATCCTCGTGCTTTAGCATTGCCCTATGAATAAATCGTTCAGAGTAGCCATTCTGGACAAAGACAGTACGAAAGAATGCGTCTAGAAAGGCTAGACTTTTATCCTTTTCTTTTTTCAGAACAAATTTCACGTTCGGATGGGCATTATTGAGTTCTTCAAGCAACCGATTAGTATCCGCATTTTTATCTGTTGTACATAGTATATCATCAACGTATCATCTGTACAGGGTACATTGTCTGATATGAGGCTCCAGGGGATCGTTCTCAAGTTTTGCCGTAAAGTTGTCGGTGAATAGTGGTCCTAAAGATGACCCTATTTAGACTCTATTCTTCTGACGGTATAATTCACCATTGAACTGAAACTGTACGTTATGCGTTCATACGAATAACGATAATTTCAGCTCATCCAATAGAATTCCCACATTGATGTTGTTCCTCCGAATAAACTCACACATGTGATTGATTGTTTCACTAATTGGCACATTTTTGAACAAAGATATAACGTCAAATAAGATCATCTGTTTGCCCTCAAGTTTGAGGTCCTCCAAAGCTTCTACAAGATGAAAGGTGTCTCGTAGACTGTGCTTGCAAACAGCGAGTCTCACTGGTTCCAGTAAGCTTGACAACCACTTGGCAACGGCGTGATACGGGGAGTAGCACATATCTAGAATGGGTCTCATAGGGACACTCTCTTTGTGCACTTTGGGAAGTTCAAATAACCTCGGAATTGTTGTACCCGTTGGTCGTATTCGCTCGAATATCATTGCATCGATTGTTCCTTTTTGCTTCAGATGCCTTAATTTAGTGGAGATTAATTTTTCTACGTGAATTGCTCTATCCTTTTCAGTCGGGGTCTTTGTAAACTTGGACAGATCATTCAGTATTGCCCTCATTTTATCTACGTAATCAAACCTATTCGATTCTCTCATTCCTTGTTCATTCTTATTGTTAGTCATATT